CAGTGGCCAAGATCCCTCAGCCAAACCCATTTCACACCCCTTACCAAAACCCATTTCAACGCAAATCCCACTCTAGCCATGGGACCCCCTCCGAGCCTTGGTGGGAAAACAGTCCCCGCACACAGAAGGGATCACATCCCCTGGCCCCCGGCCCCCAGTTCTTTCCATCATCCGTGGCTCCTCTACCCACCACTCCCTAGGGTGGGGCTCCCTAGGTAACTGGGCGCTAAGTTAAGCAAAAGAGCGACTCGGGTCCGTTATTTCTGGCGCGGCAGAGGTGCCAGGTGACCCAGCTGCGGTCGTGCTGCAGTCGCACCTGTGCACGGAGAGGGCACCTGACCGCTCCTTCCCGGGAGCCAACCCTGTGCGCACGACCTGAGCGCGGGCGCGGTGCGCGCCAGGCTAACGGTCGCCGCCGGCGCGGGCGCGGTGCTGCCTAGGTCCCTGTTCGCCCAGGGCTGGAGGAGCCGCTCCCAGCTCGGACACCTCCGGCTCTCACACAGGGCTCCACCGCCCCGGCTGCCCAGGGGCTCCGATTCGCGGCTGGAAGCCCCGCACTGCCAGGAGGAAGCGGCGGGCAGGACCGCCAGCGCGCACGGAGAGCCGAGGACTCCCTTTTATGTCCAGGAATGAAGCGCGCACCGCAGCCGCGCCCGCCGCCCAGAACCGACTTCCCCAGGGCGCAGAGGCAGCCGGTGCCACCCTCAGGCCGGGTCGCTTACCTGTCGCCGCGCGGGTCTGAGTGACAGCGGAGAGGAGCGCGGAGAGCGGCAACAGCCACAGCAGGCGCCAGCCCTGCCCGTTCTTTCTGCAAGAAGTAGCCGAGGGAGAGAAAGTGAGGCGGGCAGGAGGCTAGGAGGGGCCCGGGGCTCGGGGAAGCGGGTCCTACCTTGGCGCCATCTCGCGGGTCTGCGGGGTCCCGGAGCTCCCCGGAGGCCGAGGGGCGCTGAGCGCTGGCCGCCGCGCTCGCCCTTCCTGCAGCGAACAAAGGCGGCGCTCGGCGGCTGCGGCGGGCAGGATCCCGGTTCCTGGCCCGCGCCCGGAGTCGCCCGCGCCCTGAGTCACCCGCGCTCTGAAACCCGACTCCGCCGCGCCCTGCGCTCGCCCGCGCGCTGCGCCCCACCTCGGGCAGCCAGAGCGCTCTCTCACCCCGGGGAGTCCCGCCGCGACGGCCGCTTCCCCACGCCCCTTTCTCCCCTGCCACACACGCGCGCTCTCCCGCGCGCTCTCCACTCCGGGTGGCAACCAAAGCCCCGCGTCCGAGCTGCTCCGGGCACGCGGGACGCGGCTGCTTCCCGCCGTCCAGTCCGTGCCGGTCGGGGCCGCCCCGCGGACCAACCGCTTCCCTCGCCACAGCGCAGAGAGCCTGGGCTCACTGTGATTTCCTTATATGACAGACGAGGAGACTGAGGCTCAGAGAGGAGGAGCGAGTGTCACCCGCTGGATTGAGCTCCCGCGTGCTGCGCCCCACCCAGCGCGCGGGGCTCGCGGACCTACTCGAACGCGCAGGAGTGGGCGCACCCAGGCGGGGCATGAAGTCCTGGTTCTCCAGGCGGCCCTCTCTTTAGCTAGCCCGTCCCCGTCCCCGTAAGGTAAACTCCTGGAGGACAAGGGTGTCTCTCTGCTTTGTTCTCAGCTCAAGTAGGAGACCCCGATGACCCTGGGATGAAGGAAGAAGCATGGGTTTGTAGGAGACCTCACCGCCCGGGCCCTGGGACAGGCTGTAGGGGAGAGGAGTCTGGCTGGCTTCAGTGGGGACAGGGGTGCAGCCTAGCCCTCTGTACAGAGCTTAGCACAAAGCTGGGGAAACCCTCGAAGGGGGGTGTTTTGTTTCTAAGATTGCTACCAAGGAGGGTAGGCCTTGCGGTGCCATGGGTTAAGCTGCTGCCTGGGACGTGGCGTCCCCCTACCAGAGGGCCTGGGTGCATGTTCAGCCTCTGCTGCTGATCCAGCTAATGCACACCCTGGGAAGATGGCCCAAGGACTTGGGTCCCTGCCACCCATGTGGGAGATCCACATGGAGTTCCTGGCTCCCAGCTTTGGCCTGGCCCAAGCCTGACTGTTGCAGGCATTTGAGGAGTGAACCAGTGGATGGAAAATCTCTCTGTCTCTCTCTTCCCACCTCTCCCAGCCTCTTCAAATAAAAAAAGTTTTTAAAAATGTTATTGTGTAGGACTTTTGGGGTGAGAGGTGGCACCGCCAAAGACAGCTTTGACCTGGACCTTTATGAAGCCAGGCTAAGCCAGGAACCTCTCCTCCTGGTGCCCCAATTGCATGGTTTCATTCGGTACCATGGCACATTCTCTAGTGGACACGTCACTCCACCTGCCAAGTGAAAAGGTCGCTTGAGGTGGCCATGGCGATGACCATGGCAGTTAACATACACTGGACGTGGGTTTTGTCTCAGGCCCTGTGCTAAATGCTTTGCCTGTGTTATCTCGTGTAATCCCCACCATCGCCCTGGAAAGGTGGTACTGTAATGACCACCCCCCCCCCTTTTCATGGATGAAGAAGCTGTGGCTAAAAACGTGCCCAGGCTAGTGGGTAGGGTGCCAGCACACATGTTCCTCACCATTTAGCCACATTGCCAATTTGTGAACAAAAGGATGAGACCTGAGGCCTGCTCCCTACCCCTGTGAGCTAAAATGCACTGGACACAGTACTCAGGCATGAGAGAGTTAATGCCAGCCCAGGTCATGAGGGCTCGGAGGAGGGCCCGCTGCCCTGGGGAGCTGCAGCCTTGACCCCAGTCTGGTTCTGGTCCTGGCTGCACAGTGAGTTGGGCAAGTCCTGCTGTATGTCAGATTTTTTTTTTTATTTCTCCACCTGTGTAATGATTGTGATCTGGATGGTGGCTGTGAGTCTCTCAGTGAGCTACCTCGTAGCCCCACATTGCGCTGGCCACTGCCAAGAGCTGTACAGGCATGAAGGACAGAGCCTACAATGCATGTAAAAGTTTTTCAGAAAGGGAGTAACCAGCAAGCCCTGGAGAAGTCAAGAGAGACTTCCTGGAGTAAGTGACGCGAAACCAGGCTGGGGGGCGGCCAGGGGCTTGGGGACTATTCAGAAGGAGAGGAAGGCTGTGTTCACAGGGGTACTTTTGCAAGCAGTACCCACGTAAGAACCGCCCCACTCCGGGCTGGAGAGGGCCCCCCGCAGCCGGGGAGGTGCTGAGGCAGAGACCTGCCATGGCAGGCCAGTGGGCAGGATGCCCAGGGCCCTGCAGACCGCGTGAGGTCAGGGGTGCTCCCTGAGCAGACTGGCACCCCAGAAACCTGATCCAGCCACCTCTCTGCATCTCCATTTTGTTCATGGGGAAACAGGCGCAGCTCAGCATGCAACTTAGAACTCATCTCCCCAGTGAGTGACAGATTGGCAGGCCAGGAAAGTTATCCGAGGAGGGCAGAACCGTCTGCAGTGTTGTGGCATCCATGTGGAATCTGAGGAGCCTTCTAAGGTAGTGAGCTCCCCGTCCCTGGGGACCGGACACTTGGCACACAGGAGTCTGCAGGGTGCGCAGGAATTGCAAGCTTGGTCTGCCTGGACTGGATCCTGGCTCTGTTGTTTGTGAGTTCTGAGAAACAGGGGTGAATCCGCCAGATGAGGTGGAGAAAACGTCTTTCTTCCGAGGTTAAGGGGAAGAGTCAAGGTGTTGCTGAGCTAGAAAGCGTTTACTAGGGTGCCTGGCACAGGATGAAGCTTCTAGGAAAGTGGAGGTGGCCATGCCCATGATACTCTCACCATCGGGGCTGACGCCTGGGGAGGAGGGCACCTGCCCAGAAAGAGGCAGGACCCCAGACAAGGCTCTTAAGGGATGGAGGCACGAGCAGACAAAGCCGCTCCAGAGCTAGGGTGGCCCCACGTGAGGCCATCCCATAAGGCAAAGCGTATCCTAACAGATTGGCCACTGTGCCTCTTCCTCAATCTCTTCACGTTCTCCAAGAACCCGTCCCGCTTGCCGCCATGCTCTGGTGGGATTACCCTTATTACGAACTGCTAACCACAGGGAATTCGCTGTCTTAGTTCTTGCTTTCCCTGTTGCTTGCAAAATACCACATCAACTGGGAATACAATTGCCTTCCCCAGAGCTATATTTCTATACTTCTTTGAAAAAGCCACAGCTACCATGACTGCATAAGAGTTCCATGGCTCTGTTTGGACCAGAGATGGTAAACTGGTGGCACTGGACTCTATTTGGATGAAAGACATGTTTTGTTTGGCCTGCACGGTGTCAACCTCCTAATTAAATTAGTTAGCAATGTTCAATAAATAGGAAGTTGCACATTAAAATCTGGATTTCTTGCTTCTCTCTGAATGTTTGAAAAACTTGACCACAAAAGGCCTACATTCCCTATGCCAACAATGGATTGGCATTGGATAGGAGCTACTGCCTTCAGTTAAGACAATATTCTCCAGTTTGCCACAGTCCCCACTATCCCGTTTTGTCCTCACACCAAGGCTAAAAATCAACTGTTGTTTATCACCACACTTTTTACCTTTGCTTATAAGAAAAAGTGGCGTAGAGCACTCGGGTTCCTGCTGGAAATAAGTCAACCAAAGATAGAAGAGGGTGTTTAAGGAAAAATGGGAAAAACATATTTTTTAAGATTTATTTTATTTATTTGAAAGAGTGAGGTACAGAGAGAGAGGTCTTCCATCCGCTGGTTCACTCCCCAGATGGCTGCAGTGGCCGGAGCTGTGCCGATCCGAAGCCAGGAGCCAGGAGCTTCTTCCGGGTCTCCCATGCAGGTGCAGGGGCCCAGGACTTGGGCCGTCTCCACTGCTTTCCCATGCCATAGCAGAGAGCTGGATCAGAAGCGGAGCAGTCGGGACTAGAACTGGCGCCCATATGGGATGCCGGTGCCCCAGGCCAGGGCTTTAACCCGCTGTGCCACAGCACCTCCCTGGAAAAACATATTTTTACATGTTTAATATGCAAATAAAATGTGTCCACATTGACAGAAACAAAAATTCAGGTACCTTAATGAAACGAACCTGGCCCAACTCATTACGTGTGTTCCCCAAAGGGCGAAGGCGAAACTGCATTTTAGTTGGGGGGCCTGCTCCCGGTCTTGTTTGTCAGTCTAAGACACTGATGCGGAAGGTAGCAGGCTCCTTTCCTTCTCCTACAGGGAAATCCTGTGTGCACAGTTCATGTGTTGCTGCTTCTGTGTAAGGATCTGACAGCTCCCAGTTCTCTGGGATCTAAAGATGCAAGGCCCACGGTCCCTTTCTCCTGACACATGCCTGGAAACAGATGTACACTCCCGTTACTGGTTTTGTACCTGCGCCACCTGGCAAGCCAGCCTGTGCTCATAGGCGCGAGGGCTTTCCTCTTGGAGTCTGGCCTGGAGGTGGAATTATAAACACAGACTGATGGAGGGCAGGGAGGGTCTTGGCCTGGGAGCCGCATGGTCCCAGCTGTGGGTGTAGGAGGGATGGGGCGGGAAGCCAAAGAAGGCATTTCACCTCCTGCCAGACAGTGTTTTGAGGGCTTAAGCGATTTCCTTCCATTCAATGTGCAGTTGTCGAAATAGCCAAGAGGAAGCTTCATGTCAGGCCCACGTTGGTCTAAATTGTTTACCTCGGTCAGTACATTCTGCAAGACTGGATGTGTGGAGACTGGCTCTTCCACCACTCAGTCTCCAAGCGCATTCTCCAAACTGTCTCAAGCAACTGCAAAGAGCACAGAAATTTGTGAGAAGCACCCCAACCTCTGGTTTGGGAAGAACTTAGCAAGGCTGGGGCCAGCACTGTGGCACAGAAGGTTAAGCCTCCACCTGCCGTGCCAGCATCCCATATGGGCACTGGTTCAAGTCCCAGCTGCTCTGCTTCTGATCCAGCTCCCTGATATTGGCTTAGGAAAGCAGTGGAAGGTGGCCCAAGTGCTTGCCAAACACTTGCCAAGAAGAAGCTCCTGACTCCTGGCTTCAGCCTGGCCCAGCTCTGGCTATTGCAGCCATTTGGAGAGTGAACCAGTGGATAGAAGATCTCTCTCCTCCCCCCACCCACCCCGCCTTTCAAATAAATAAATGACTCAATAGAAACAGCGAGCTGTGGTGTCCGTTATTCTGAACCGAGCTTCCTCCCCACCTGAGCATCATGTGGTACACCGGAGGGTCCCAAAAGTTCGCATCGTCGTCATCTGATTCAATGCACAGAAAAAGCAGAATACACGTAAAGAGCTGGCGAGAAAAGAACGTCCTAGAATCACCGAAGAGGATGGCTCCCTTTTGGATAAGCCGTGGCAGCTTAAACCCACCACTGCCTCCCGAGGAGGACCGTGAGCACCTTGAAGAGTGGGGACCACAGGCTGCGAAGCGTGTACTAGACAGTGACAGATTTGACAACTGGACAACCTGGGAGGAAAGGAGGGAGAGTGGATCAGACAGCCGCTAGGTGCCTGTCAGTGCCCCGAGCATGTGCCCCCGCCACTGTCACTATGTGCACGGTGGCCACCTCCCAACTGCCAGCCTCCCTTTACCCGAGCACTTGCTGTGGGTGCTGGAGCCTGTTCTGCCCACGAGCGTGGCAGCCCCCGGAGCCACAGAATTAATGATGCACCCTGCCCTGAGATGCTCTCCACCAATGGCCAGCCACCCGGGATCCACTGCAGCAGCCAGCCACCCGGGATCCACGGCAGGGTTAACCTCCGGGGAGTGGCACACTCACACTTTCTGGGACGCCTCATTTCTGCACTGCCCCTCCAGTGTTCCTCAGGGACTGGCCAAATGAACCACTGGCCACGAAATCCTGGCCTCAGAGTCTGCTTCTAGGGCTTCCAGATCAGGACAGCCACCCCAGAGCGTGTCAGTGGCACCCATCTCCGGGGTGTTTGGTGCCTGCCCTCCTCGTGGTGGTCGACTCTCCCCGGACTCTCACCCGCTTCAAGCAGGTGCCAGTCACAGCCCCACGCCTCATACCCGCGTTGACTCCTCTCCCTTTCCTCTCTGAGCTTGCTGGCTAAGGCATAACACCCTCAAGGTTTGCTCAGCACCCACAGGCCAGCCTAACCGCCTAGGGGGAAGTTCTGAGCTGATGGAAGCCAGCAAATGCACTTTTCCCCTTCCCCTTCTAAATGCATTGTCCCAGAAAGATAAGGTACAAGGGAGCTCAGAAGGTGGCTCACAATACTGAGCAACCAGTGCATCCAAGGCCTCCCATGGGTCTTCCTCCTTCCCTGCTTCGCTCTCCTTTCCCTGACTCCCGCTGCCTGGGATTGCGCTCCCTGATACGGCAGATGCTGAGGTCGGGGAAACCCAGCAGAAGATGGGTAGTGGAGTCTGTCTCCCACCCTCCAACACATCTGTGCGTCGTAACAGGGACTTGCAGCAGTTGTCACCTCCTCCTTGGCTCCCATTCGCGTGATGTCTCCATTCTAGAGGACTAGTGTTAGAGTCTCTGACATGTGTGCCTGACCAAGTCCCTCCTGACACCATTATAACAGATGACCGGTTGTCCATGTAGCACCTGGTGGACGTGGACGAGTGTCCTCACCATGCGAAGCTGGCTTTCACACTGCCTTTGATTGAATTTGCCCAGTCATGCCGCATCCCATGTGCCAAGGGTTACCACCATATCTGGTGTGGCAGCTACCAGTGATGTCACCATCTGGTCAAGTTCATAGCCATCCACTAGTATCGGCCACAATCCATACAAGTGAATTAATGGAAATATAATGGGACTTAGCACACGTGGACCATTTAAGTCTTGGTAGTGGCTCTAATCTATGCAGTGCTTCCTGGGAGGTGTTGCCTCTGAGCTACTACTTTGAAGTGGGGGAAGGGAGGTACCTTCAAGGACTTCCACTTGACTTTTCCTTCCAGACTCTACAAGTCGAGTTGCTAATGTAAGAGTTCTGCCAGAAGCTAATTGTGTCAATCCCTATTATATATTTAAGGTCAAGCCTAAATAAAATCTAGAAAGCACAAATAAATAATGTGAATAGGTTATCTGAGTCTCCTAGTTCTTTCATTGCTTTGTACCAACACTTTAATTTCATGAGTGGTTTCCTATGACCAATAAACAGAGAAGTAAAGAACTCGGGCTGCTTCCCAGGTGAGTCAGTGCGATACATTGGTGCTAGTTGAAAATGGGCTCTTGGGGCTGCTACTGAAGCTTAGCAGGTTAAGCCACCACCTGCAACACCAGCATCCCATTTGGGCATCAGTTCTAGTCTCCTGATGCTCCACTTCTGATCCAGTTCCCTGCTAACGTGCCTGGGAAAGCAGCAGAAGATAACCCAAGTACTTGGGTCCCTGCACACACATGGGAGACCCCAATGAAGCTCCTGTTCATGGCTTAAGCCTGGCCCAGCCAGAACCAGTGGATGGAAGATATCTCTGTGTGTGTCCTTCTCTCTCTGTAATTCTGCCTTTCAAATAAAACAAATGAATCCTTTACAAAAAGGAAACTGGACTCTTGCTGCATTATGACCACTCAGGAGTGGCCCTAAAGGACAAGAGTGAAGAGAATTCCTCCAAGAGGTAGAACTATGAGTGGTGCACTTGGTCACCTCTTTGAAGGAGGGAGAAGTGGCATATTTACATGCATATAGGCTGGTTCCGTGGCTCACTAGGCTAATCCTCCACCTGCGGCGCCGGCATTCCGGGTTCTAGGCCCGGTCGGGGTGCCGGATTCTGTCCCAGTTGCTCCTCTTCCAATGCAGCTCTCTGCTGTGGCCTGGAAAGGCAGTAGAAGATGGCCCACGTCCTTGAGCCTCTGCACCCATTTGGGAGACCAGGTGGCTCCTGGCTCCTGGCTTCAGATCGGCGCAGCTTCGGCTGTTGCGGCCATTGGAGAGTGAACCAACGGAAGGAAGACCTTTCTTTCTGTCTCTCTCTCACTAACTCTGCCTGTCAAAATAAATAAATAAAAATTTTAAAAATACATGCATGTAGATATCTGAGCAGGGGACACCGGTCTTAAATGATGGCCAAAGGCATGAAAAACAAGATTAAATGACTGAGGACAAGGAGCTCTAGGAAGAGTCATGTGGGCTGACCCAGAGAAGTGAACACAAAATGTGGTGGTCTTTGAATCTGCCAGTGCTGTCTAGGGACTGTCCACCACAGAGGAGACATCAAGAACCATGTAGACTGGATGGTTCATGCTGTGGACGCCAGCCAGTCTCGCTCCTTGGCTGCCCTAGGGCTGACACTGTGCGGCCTTACACAGTGACAATGATGGCAGGGTTTGCCATTAAGCAAGGGCCCAGCAGCATGGACCCCATTCCTCGACAGGAGATCTAGCGGTTGGCTTTGCTGCACACCCAGCCTGCTAGCTACACAGACTGACAGTGAGGCCCCGGTGCGGCGCCATCCTTGTAAAGACCAGCCAACCCCTTGGCAGCAAGTTGATTCTCCAGACCCTTTTCTGAGCCAGACTTCCTCACCAGGATCAATACCTAACTGGGAGAGGCTTTGCCTTTGCTAACCACGCGCCTCTGCCAGCCACACCATCCACAGACTTGCAGATGCTTGATTCATCCCTGTGGTGTCCACACAACATTGCCCCGGATGAAGAGACCCATTTTATGGACAAAGAGTCCACCCAAAGTCCACCCAAAACGTGGACTGAGCACAGAGGAAGTCAAGCAAGGGTGGCGGAGGAGGAGATGGGACTAGCTCCAGCTGGGGCACTGGGCTTGCTTCACGCTCTTGCCCAAACTCTTTTCAGAGATTTCAGTTGGCTGTGATCTTGAAAGGGAACTCTGTGACTGATTGAACTTGACCTTCTCTTCTTAGAAAATAAATGAGAGCATTGTGTTGTCACAATAGGAAGGCCTTCTATGACCCTATGGGAGGGCAAACCTAGGCAGTGCAGGGGCTAGACTGTAGGGGACATCTCGGATGCACCACTTCACCCCTCTCAATGTCACCTGCCATGAGGTGATGTTTGTTCAACCCTCACCATTGCTGCCAAGGTCAACTCAGTACAAACTCCAGTCAACCACGGGTGAAACCTGACAGCGCCTTTATTTACTCCCATTTTCCACCTCTCCCACCTGCTTTGGGACTTCCCCACTGATCCCGAGGCATGAGGCACTGTGTTCCTTATATATCCACATGTAAGCCACCTGGAAATGCAAAGGAAATAACAGGTGGTGAACGTTTGAATGATGGGAGGTGGAATCTAGTGACTAAAGATTTCTCCCTTCCTCTCCCAGATGCTCAACCCTCAGAAGCAGCTTCTCAGAAGAAAATCCCAACAGACCGAGAACCCCCTTGTATTGACTAACTCCTGCTTCCCCTTCCTCCCTCCTGGTCTCCTCTCCCCTTCCCTCGTCCCAGGGACTGGGCTCCTACTCAAGGGGCACAGAAGCCTCTGCCTCAGGTTCTAGCTTTTGGGAAAAGCTAGGTTAAGGCAGCAAAACGAAAGCTGATAAGCACCACCCAGAAGCTCTGTGAGATGAAGCTGTCAGGGATACATCCCTAGCGTGAAGCGGCCCCCAAAGCTTTGAGGAGCCCCAAGTCGCACGCCCAGTTTGAAGTTGTTCACATCCCAGAAACTCTCTTTCCCCCAGCAGTAACTACAGAAACTGCACTCAGGCAGCTCCTTGAGTTCATGAAGTTCACAGGAGCTTCATGAAAACAGTTGTGTGGCTCTCGACTGAGAGATGAGCAAAGGCTGCGCACGTGGGACGCGGTGGTGAGCAGGAGAAACGAGAGCACCGGCAGGGAGCGTAAGAATGCCAGCCTTCTGAGCACCTGCTGCGGTTTGGACGATGGCTTGGGGCTCCGCAAGTCACAGAACGGGGGAGGCAGAGGTCCTTTCCAAGGGACAGCGAGGACTCCCCCAACTGCTGACATATGAGCAGCACAGAGTACCCACAATTAGACCATGGCTTGAAGTTAGACTGTCCCCTAGGCAGGGTGCTTACTAGGCCTCTCTGTGCCTCAACTTTGATGAGTTGAAAAATAGCCATGATAATACAAAGTTGTTAAATGCATAAAATGAAATGATTCAGGCACACTGCACTTCCCTAAGTATTTTATGTTATCAAAATAACTGAATGCTCTTGTCGGTCTCATACAAATAAAAGACCCAGACTTGCCATCACAGGATACCAGACCTAGAAGAGTATTGGAGATCTTCACACCCGGGCTCTATGCGTGCCCAAGTGTCCCGACTCCTGCCCACTGTTCTTTTCTCTGCCTTTTGGGTCTCTTACCCAGTTCCTCCATATGACCAGAGTCAAGGTCATCACAAACCAGGAGAATTGAAAATGAAGATTTCATGCTTGTACAGGTTGAGCATTCCTAATCCAAAAATCTAAAATCCTGGCGAGGCGCATGGCCTAGGAAAGATGACAGCTGAGACACCCACTTCCTGTGTCCCATGTTGGAGTGGAGTGCAGCCACTCATAACTCAGACTCCTGCCATGCGGACCCAGGGAGGCAACAAATGATGCTCAACTGATTGGGTTTCTGCCACCAATGTGGGAAATTTGGCCCCCATTCCCAGCCTGGGACCTTTGTGGGAATTTGGGAGTGAGCCAGTCTATGAGGTCGGTCTCTCTCTCTCTCTCTCTCAATATCTCCCTCTCACACTGATTAATCAGTTTTTAAAATTTATTTTATTTATTTGAAAGAATTACATAGAAAGGTAGAGACAGAGAGAGAACAAGGTCTTCCATCAGCTGGTTCACTCCCCAGATGTCTGCAATGGCCAGAGCTGAGCTGAAGCCAGGAGCCAGGAGCTTATTCCACATCTCCTCCCGTGCAGGTGCAAGGGCCTAAGCACTTGGGCCATCCTCTTGTTTTCCCAAGCACATTAGCAGGGAGCTGGATTGGAAGTGGAACAGCCAGGACTCTAACCAGTGTCCATGTGGGATGCCAGCACTGCAGGCCAGGGCTTTAACCTGCTGCACCACAGTACCAGCCCCTAATCAATTTTTTTAATTAAAATTCTAAGGATCAGGGCTGTGATGTAGCAGGTAAAGCAGCCTCCTGCAGCATTGGCATCCCATTTGGGCACCAGTCCAAGTCCTGGCTGCTCCACTTCCTATCCAGCTCCCTGCTAATAAGCCAGGAAAAGCAGCAGAGAATTTCCCAAGTCCTTGGGCCCCTGCACCCCTGTGGGAGACCCGGATGAAACTCCAGGCTCCTGGTTTCGGCCTGGCATAACCCTGGCCATTGTGGCCATTTGGGGAGTGAACCAGCAGATGAAAGCGCTCTCTCTCTCTCTCTCTCTCACTCTCGCTCTGCCTCTCACTCTCTGTAATTCTGATTTGTAGAGAAATGTCTTTAAAGAAAAAATTAAAATTTTTAAAAAGTGAAATTCAAAATGCTCCAAAATATTAAATTTTTTGAGCAGCTACACTGTCACAAGTGGAAAATCTTATATTGTGGGCTTTGTTTCATGTATAAAATTGTGAAAATCATAGCATACAATTACCCTTGGCCGGCGCCGCGGCTCATTAGGCTAATCCTCTGCCTGCGGCACTGGTGCTCCAGGTTCTAGTCCCGGTTGGGGCACCCCTTCTGTCCCGGTTGCTCCTCTTCCAGTCCAGTTCTCTGCTGTGGCCCAGGAAGGCAGTGGAAGATGGCCCAGGTGCTTGGGCCCTGCACCCGCATGAGAGACCAGGAGGAAGCACCTGACTCCTGGCTTCGGATCGGCATAGCTCTGGCCATGGCAGCCATTTGGGGGGGGTGGTGAACCAATGGAAAAAGGAAGACGTTTCCCTCTGTCTCTCTCTTTCTCTCACTGTCTAACTCTACCTGTAAAGAAAAAACATTACCCTCAAGTTATGTGCATAAGGTGCACATGAAACATAATTAAACTTGTGGGTCCCATCCCCAAGATATCTCAAAAGGCAAATATTCCCTAATCCAAAAAAAAATCCAAAATCTAAAGCATTTCTGGTGCCCAGCAGTTCAGTTAAGGGATGTGAGTGTCCCGAAGACTCTGTGCTCTGGGTGCTCCACCTAGGGGAGCGCCGCTCTACCAAGCAGCACTGCTCAGTCACAGTCCAGCCTGGGCTTTTCAAACCTGGGATGCACCTGCATCGAATCCCTTGTGGAGCAAACGGGGCAAGTACAATTCCTAGCCTCCACCCAACACTACAGATGAGGATGTCCTCAGAAGGGCCTTGGGATTGGAATTTGAAGCAGCTCCCTGGTCCTTCTTACACACACTGAGGTTTCACATCTGTATTTCTCACGACCTCTCGCTCCCAAGCCCTATTTTGGAATTCCTTGCATTCGGACACTTTCCTATTTCAAACACCATCCGTTCCAATGGTGCTTTGCAGGCTCCAGCTCAGACAAACTGCCCAGATCTCTCTCTCTCTCTCGGATGGTTTTTCCCTACTCGCCACTCCCTTGGAAGAGCAAGAAATAATGTGTTTTAACTGAGTGAAGGCCTTGGAGAGAAAGTAGCCCAGAACTAGGAAGGACCTCCCACTCAGTCTGCCTCTACCTAACCAGAGGCTCTGCTGTGAAGATCTGTTGCATTTGAAGAAATCTCTTAGGAAGCATTTGACGGTCAACAAGGAGGCGAGCACAACTCTGCAGCTGGGGCAGCCCGCCTTCCACTCCACCCAGCTGCCTCCTCTGTGCCCAGACTGCGGCTGTCCCTTCCCCAGAGACTGTGAGGAAGGGTGTTGCAAATACAGAAGCATTAAACTTAACTGCCCTTTTTGTCCCAAGGAGCATGAGAGCCGGCGGTTGTGTCCTTAAGATAAACCATGAGGACAGGACGTGAAATCTGTGCAAAGGGACAGGAACTCTATCACCCACATCGCCTGATGTCCCCCGACAGCAGGGCCATGCCCCGATTTTGAGAGTGGCCAGTAGTACAGACGACAAGAAGCAAAGCCCCTCGTTGTCCCCCCTTAGGGGTCACACTGCCCCCTGTCCACCAGCTCAGGGGGACACGACTGCCAAGCAACGGAAGTGGGCACGTGGATCCACAGGCTGTAGCCTCCTCTTCCCTCAACTCTAGGGAGCCAAGGCTCACCCCAGGGCTTACCACCAGTCAGCAGCCCTCCTCGGGGGCAGTGTCTTTTGTCACAAAGAATTGCGATGCTACTGCCATTTGGCAGGCCAAAAAGGCTCGATTGTGCACAGAGGCGTTTTACCCATCAAAGAAATAGCCCAGCGAACATGCCAGTGCTGCTCCACTGAGAGATGCTACCAGATTGCAGCTTTCAAACACTTCTTCTAGCCAAGACCCTTGATCTCGCAATCCCACAAACACACGCATCCGAAACAAACATTCCCCGTAGTGATACTTGCCTTACTGCTTGTAATGCACACTGATTTTTTTTTTAACTCTGTCCTGCTCCATTAAAAAAAAAAATTAATGACCCCCAGATAGGCCATATGAAGGTATGATTATTTCAAAACTCTTAGTCAGCCCCAGAGGGTGGGAATATAGCGTGAATCTGGTGATCAGAATCATTTGTCTGCTCTCCCCTGTCTTAAAAAATAAGTCCCCAGGGTGGGGCCAGCCTTGTGCTGTAGCAGGTAAAGCTGCTGCCTGTGACATCAGCAGCCCATATGGGCACCAGTTCCCTGTCCCGGCTGCTCCACTTCCAACTCACCTCCCTGCTAATGGCCTGGGAAAAGCAGCAGAAGATGGCCCAAATGCTTGGGTCCCCGCTCCCACATGGGAGATGCAGAAAACGTTCCTGGCTCCTACCTCCTGGCTCCAGCCTGGCCCAGCCCTGGCTGTTGCAGCCATTTGGGGTAGTGAACCAGCAAGTGGAAAATCTCTCTCTCTCTCTCTCTCTCTCTCTCTCTCTCAAAACTCCAGCTTTCAAATAAATAAATCTCAAAAAAAAAAAAAAAAAGCCCTCAGGGCTAAAGTGAAAGCCCCGGTGACTTCTGATGACTCAAAGCTGTCTTGCTCTGTCTCCCAAAACCAGACGGCCAGAGAGAGCCAGACAAATGTGTGTCATCAAGGCCATGGTTTTTGCCGCTTGCTGCATGGGCTGCCTGAGTTTCGTGTTTTCCCACAGTGGGAGCCATTGGGTCCAACCCATTCAAAGGATCTGGCATCTCAGTGGACAATGGAACCAGCCCCAACGGATACGGGGTGAGCGTGGACTGAGACCCATGCTGAAAGCCTTAAGTGAGCTTTTCTCAGCCTCACTGAACCACAGCCCGGCACCGTGTGCCTCATAGGCAGCCTGGCTCCCAAGATCAATTCCAAC